GTTCAGGGTTTAGGGTTTCAGGGCTCTCGGAGAGTCTGAGCCAAGGCTCGCGCAGCAGCAGGAGGCGCTACAGGCGGCTTTGCAGCTCCTGGGTCTGAACTTACTGGTTAGGGTTTAGGCTTTAGGGTTCAGGGTGGTGGTAGGGTTTCGGGGTGGTAGGGTTTTGGGGTTCAGGGTTTACGGCGTTGAGGGTTTATGGATTCAGGGTTTCGGGGTTGAGGGTTTGGGGATTTAGGGTTGGGGGTTTCGGGGTTTCGGGGTTTAAGGTTGTGATTTTGCTTGGTCTTATGCAGCTCTTGTAGGACCAGACAGGGCTTCTTTACCCAGGTCTATATTTGCCGTTGGGCTCTTGACTGGGTTTATATTGCGTACAGTCCTATCATGGTTGTATGTTTTTTGACACATTCTAATATGGGGTTTGTCAGGGCTTTATCGCGTGTCAATACGGGTTTAAACCTAGTATAGAGGCCTTAATATTTAGAATAGGGTTTTGGGGTATATTGTACTGTAATTACAACAAAGAGCCCCTTGCAACCCTATTCCAATTATTAAGGCCCCTACATTAAACTCCTAAACCCCAAACCGCAAACCCTAAGCCCCAAACCCTTACTACTTGGAACGGGGCTTTTGGGTCTCTCAGACTGTGGGTATGTAATATGTTAGACCATAGTTATGTGGGGGTATACGGGCTTTAGGCAGATTGCGGGTGTAAGCTCAGGGTTTGTGTTGAAGGGTCTAGAGTTTTTGGAATTTGTGGGTTCATGGTTTTGGGGTTGAAGGGTTTAGGATTTTAGGGCGATTTGGGGGTGCGGATTTAAAGATATGGTGGGGTTAGTTAGGTCAATCTAGATAAATCACGATAGTAGGCGGGAGCCTCTTATAAATATGATACACCCTAAACCCTAAACCCTAAACCCTAAACCCTAAACCGTGTCTGAAACCCAGTAGTCTCCTGAACAAGAACACGGTTGAGGAGGCGGGATTTACGGGATCCGGGGTTTCGGGTTTAGTGTGGGTGGGTTTAAGATTTGGGAGTTTATCTTTGCAGGAAGTTCAGGGCTTCGGGGTGTTCGAACTACTTGGGAGTTTCCGAACATTAGGGGTATCTTATTCTGGGGTCCTTGTAGTAAGGATCCTATTACTTAGAGTACTATATTAGGGTCCCCTATTTTCGGAAACCCCCACTTTGCAATCATAACAAGGTGCACCGACGATCCCGTCGACCCCTTGAAACTGCGCCTTGGACGCGTCTGCTGATTCTGAGGCTTTCTAAACTTGGCTTTGGGCTGAAATAGCCCAAACCCACCCAGCCCTACACTGATTCATGAAGCCGTTGTTGGGCTTTCTGGGCAAGTACGTCAGGATGGCCCAGAGCAAAGAACAGCCTCCAGCCACCCTGCCCGAAAGCCGAATCCCTTAGCACAGTGTAGCAAGAAGCAGGCTTTAGGTTTTGCTTATGTAACTTTAGATAGCTACATAGATACACATACACATATATATATATATATGTGCTTATATATGCATGCATGCATGCATGTAAGTGTATATATATATATATATGTATATATAGCTCAGTTTTATTTATGTATGTATCTATGTAGCTATCTCTATCTGTCTGTCGGTCTTTGTGTCTGTATGCATGTCCGCATGAATGGATTAATGAACGTATGCACGCATGCATCCATGCATGCATGCATGCATGCATACATGCATGCATGTATATATGTCTGCCTGCCTGTCTGTCTGTCTGTCTGTCTGTCTGTCTGTCTGTATGTATGTATGTATGTATGTATGTATGTATGTATGTATAGATGTATGTATGGATGTATGCATGCATGTATGTCTGTGTGTATATAGTTGTGTGTATATATATACATACATACACATGCATACAGGCTTCTACAGGGTTTTACAGGGTTTTACAGGGTTCCGTCGGGTGTGAATCGGAAGGTGACTAAGACGCCCCTGGGGTTGGAATATGGGTTGAATATAGTTCAAAAATCCTTGAAGCAAGAGTTCCTACATTACCGACGGGACCATGCCTCCCAGAATCCTACGCCGTACACGTCAGAAGGCCTCTGAAACTCTATAAGACGCGGACACCGCCCTGCACGAGGTACGTAGGGACGTCGGGTTTATGTCAAGGAGTTGGCGGGTCTATTCAGAGCTCCTCAGGATTATTGGTGAGTGTAGATGTCGGGTTTTACGATAGGTGGTACTAGTCAAAGCACGCCCGGCTTCACCTAACACAGCCTTCCCACTAAACCCAGAGTTGAGGTTTATGGCGGCTGAACTGACATCCGCCAAGGCTGAGATTGGAGCGCTGGACACTTGCAAATCTTTAGGAGCACATACAGCATGGGTGCGTGGTTTGGTTTGGTTGTGTTGCTTGTGCGCTTATGGGCTGTGGGGCTTGAAGGATTCTAGTCTGTGGAAGTGGTTTAGGGTTAAGGGGTTTAGGGTTCAGGGTTAAGGGGTTTAGGGTTTAGGGGTTTAGGGGTTTAGGGTTTAGGGGTTTACCTCGAAGGCTTGCTCACGGATCCCCAGCGCTGTCAACAGTTGAAGCTGGTCCTTTCCCTTTGTACTATACCTTAAGAACCTAAAACCCACTTTTTTTGTAGGTTCTGATTATAAACCCTAATATGGGATTTGTAGGGACCCTACAAAAAAGTAGGTTTTGGGTTCTTAAGGTAGGGGTGGCGGTTCTTGAAATTGGAGATCCCTATGCGGATTGACACAGTTTTGGCTTCTGACGGTCCAAGCATGTTCTGAATCTCCCACATGGGAGCTTCCGAAAAATAGGGGTACCTTATTTTGGGGCCCTTATAGTAAGGATCCTACTATTTATGGTATTATATTAGGGTCCCCTATTTTCGGAAACCCCCACATAGTAACTGCATAGTCGTTCTTCTGCAGGCGCGAATATTGGAGATCTAGCAGCCATACCCGAGTGCGCAAAGCTCCTTAATTAATCAGCAGCATGCAATACCCAGAGACTCCAATACCCCTTAATTAAGGAATATACCTTAAATTATATTAGGAATCCTAATAGAATCTAAGGTATATTCCTTAATTAAGGGGTATTGAAGTCTCTGAGTAGACCTTTAGCCAGACGAAGCTCTAGCGTCCCCGTCTCAATAAACAGTTTGACTGTAGGGTTTAGGGTTTAGGGTTCAGGGTTAAGGCTGCAAGGCGTTTATCAGCAGGGTTTTAGAAGAGTTGTGGCTGCACTCGGAGTCTGAAGTGAATACAGCTTTTGCCTTCTCTAGTGGAATCTTCATCGTTTATAGGGGCCTAAACAATTACCAATGCTATTTTGGGGGGTTCCTTATTATAAACATAGTATAAAATACCCCCAAACCCTATTCGAATTATCAAGGCCTCGACATTAGAACCCTAGTATGGATCCCTGAGCCCTTATACAGCCCTTTAAAGGAGCCCTTTACAGGAACCCTATTCTAATTCGTAAGGCCCCTACATTAAGCTCTTCAACAAGGCCTCAATGTCAGCATCTCGAGCTGGGCGTTCCGAGACTTGAGGGTCTGCGGCTGTACCTACAAGGGTTTAGGGTTTAGAGTTTGGGGTTTAGGGTTTAGGGTTTAGGGTTTTGGGGTTTAGGGTTTAGGGTTTAGGGATTTATAAAGGGTTTAGGGATATCTCCCCCCTGTTTGGGGTACTTAGCTTTGTGCTTACTTGGAGGGGTGGGAGACTTAGTAAGTAGGTAATAAGTACCCTAAAAGGGACCCTAATTGTGGTTGTAGTAGTTATAAGTCTATAAAATAACCATTTACTAAGTCCCCCGACCCTCCAAGTAGAATGGTAGAGTCGAGCCTGTTCTGCAGAAAGTAGGTACCCTAGGAAAGGGTGGGGTATAACTCTATGACCCTCTCTAACTCTAGGGAGGGTTTACGGGCTTTGGGTGTAAAGGCGCGGTTTTAGGGTTTAGGGTATTGAGGCTCTAAGACGTTCCGCGTGCTTCATGTCGCTCAGGAGAAGCAAGCAGCCCATTGTCGAGAAAGGCTCTCTTTTCTTTGGGGTTTCGGATCTATTTGGAGCCTAATGGATTTGGAAAGTTGGGTAATATAAGGGCCTTAATAATAAGAATAGGGCTTTGTGGTATACTCTACTTTCTTTGTAATAAGGAGCCCCCTAAACTCGATTCTAATTATCAAGGCCCCTACAGTAGGTTTCCTAAGTACCCTAAGGCCCTAAGGCTACGTGAACCCTAAACCGTAAACCCCTAAACCCTCTTCGTATCTCTCTGATACTTTTGCACCCTTCTTGCCTTCTTGGAGTTGACGAACAGCAGGACCGACTCCCTCTGGGCCCCAAACTCGAACCTTTAGAATAGCCTTAGTATAGGGTCTAATGTGTAGGGGTCTTAATACTTCTCTATACTATTTGTGGGGATTTAGAGTTTAGGGTTCAGGGTCTATGGTTACAATATGATGGGCCCCAAAACCCTATTCTGATTATTATGGCCCCTGCATTAGGGTGTATGGGGTTTGAAGAAAGAGCTATACTACGCCCCTTGTGGTACCCACTGTAGTTCTGCAGTAGTAGACCCCAGAAGCCTATCTTAATTGTTAATGCCCTTATCCTGAACGTTGCTCGGAAACTTGAAGACGGAGCGACCAGTCTTGAGCCGTAAACCCTCAACCACTTGTATTTGGCATGACCTCAGGCCTCAGACATTCGAGAACAGGATCCTCCTAGCTTCTCTGGAAGATTTTTCCTGCCATGCGATTCTTCGTTGTTGAACGACCCTAAACCCCTAAACCCCTAAACCCCTAAACCCTTAAACTTAAACCTCAAAGCTAAACCCTGAAACCGAAGCCTCGCACATTCAGTTGTTCAACCCTTGAGTCGTGCAACCCAGTGATCGAGTGCAACCCAACATTAATGTGAAGGTACATGCTAAACCCTAAACCCTATACCCTAGACCCTAAGCCCTAAACCCCTAAACCGTGAAGGTACACGACGCTTCTGAAATATTTCAACCACAGCGGCATGAAGAGCAGCGACTTCATGCTCCTTTGGGATCCTCGGCACCGTTGTTCGGTTTAGGGTTTAGGGTGTAGGGTTTGGGGTTTAGGGTATTCCTCAGGCCCTAGACCAGAAGCCCCAAAAACCGAACCCCAAACCCCAAACCCTAAACCCTAAACCCCAAACCCTAACACCCTAAACCCCTAAACCCTAAACAATAGCCTCGAAGTCTCAGGGTTCTGTGAGCCGGAGTCGTCCTGAACAGGGTGTCGGGCTGCGGGATTTCGGATTGAGTGGGCCCAAATTTAGGGGTTCGGGGTTTAGGGTTCAGGGTTTAGGGGTTTAGGGTTTAGGGTTTAGAGGTTTAGGGTTTAGGGGTTCGGGGTTTAGGTGTTTCGCATTAAGGTGTCTAGAGTGAGGGTTTAGGGTTTCGGATCCCCAAAATACGGGCTCGCAGGCCAAAGGTGCTGAAGCGATTGCCCCCTTTAGTCCTCTCTTGAGTCCGGGTGCTGCCACGTCGGTTTAGGGTTTAGGGTTTAGGGTTTAGGGTTTTCGTCTCTTTCGTTCCGGACATCTGGCCTAGTTGTAGGCACACCGAAACTGACTTTGAATTTAGTGGAGCTTGCTTTTGCGTAGTGTTCCCAACATCGACCATCCGCACAGTCTTCAGTTCATGCTTGTCTTGGGGGCAGAGCTTAAATTCTGTAATCAACCCTAAACCCTAAACCCTAAACCCTAAAACCCTAAACCCTAAAACCCTAAAGCCCTAAACCCTAAACCCTGTAACCGGCTCATACAGGCAGCGAGCTCGTTCAGAGCCGCAGCCATCGTCAGGTCGCTCAACTCCTGGACCCGAAGCTGCTTCCCCAGAGACTCCAATACCCCTTAATTAAGGAATATACCTTAAATTATAGTAGGATCCCTAATCTGATTTAAGGTATATTCCTTAATTAAGGGGTATTGGAGTCTCCGGGTCTAAGGCTTGTAAGCGTTTCGGGTTAAGTAAGCAGGTAGCATGTTGTGCAGATCACTGCAGGGGCCTTAAGAGTTGGAAAAGGGTTTTAGGCCGTGGGGGTTTCCATAGTATAAGTATAGTATAATATACCCCAAAACCCTACTCCATGATCAAAGTTGTCACGGACATTATTTCGACATGCCGAACTCCAACACGGACTCGGCTGAACAGTTTCGTTTGCCCGAACAGACACCTTGTCCGACCACACCCCCAAACCCTATTCTGATTATAAAT